CCTCCAAATTTTGAAGTCGTGGACCATTCCCAAGTTGAAAAAAACCCCAAACTTGTAAAAAGTGGGAAATGCTGATTTATTTTTTTTTTTATCCTGAGAGCACCCTGGGCAAGATCCGTGCTGGAGGCAGTTCCTGGGACCAAAACTCTCACAATTTCCTCCAAATTTTGAAGTCGCAGACCATCTCAGAGTTGAAAAAAAATCCCAAACGTGTAAAAAAGCCGAAATTTTAAGGTTTCTTAATCCGAGAGCACCCTGAAGTCCTTCCTCCTGGTGGGCAGCATCTGTGCTGGGTACAGTTCCTGGGACCAAAACTCTCAGTATTTCCTCCAAATTTTGAAGTTGTGGACCATCTCAGAGTTGAAAAAAAACCAAAATGTGTAAAAAGCGGGAATTTCAGATTATTTTTTTTTCATCCTGAGAGCACCCTGGGCAGGATCCGTGCTGGAGGCGGCTCTTGGGACCAAAACCCAGAGAATTCCCTCCAAATTTTGAAGTCGTGGACCCTTTCCGAGTTGAAAAAAACCCCAAACTTGTAAAAAGTGGGAAATGCTGATTTATTTTTTTTTTTATCCTGAGAGCACCCTGGGCAGGATCCGTGCTGGAAGCGGCTCCTGGGACCACAACTCTCACAATTTCCTCCAAATTTTGAAGTCGTGGACCATTCCCAAGTTGAAAAAAACCCCAAACTTGTAAAAAGTGGGAAATGCTGATTTATTTTTTTTTTTATCCTGAGAGCACCCTGGGCAGGATCCGTGCTGGAAGCGGCTCCTGGGACCACAACTCTCACAATTTCCTCCAAATTTTGAAGTCGTGGACCATCTCAGAGTTGAAAAAAAAACCACAAACCAAAAACCCAAAGGTGTAAAAAAGCCGAAATTTCAGGATTTCTTTTATTTTACCCCAAGTGGCTGCACCGTGGTGGGCAGGATCCGTGCTGGAGGCCGTTCCTGGGACCACAACTCTCACAATTTCCTCTGAATTTTGAAGTCGTGGACCATCTCAGAGTTGAAAAAAAACCGCAAACGTGTAAAAAGCAGGAATTTCAGATTTTTAATTTTTTTTTATCCTGAGAGCCCCCTGGGCTGGGTCTGTGCTGGAGGCGGCTCTTGGGACCAAAACCCAGAGAATTCCCTCCAAATTTTGAAGTCGTGGACCATTTTCGAGTTGAAAAAAAACCCAAACTTGTAAAAAGCGGGAATTGCAGATTTATTTATTTTTTATCCTGAGAGCACCCTGGTGCTGGAGGCAGTTCCTGGGACCACAACGCTCACAATTTCCTCCAAATTTTGAAGTCGTGGACGTTCTTAGAGCTGAAAAAAACCACAAACCAAAAACCCAATGGTGTAAAAAAGCCGAAATTTCAGGAATTCTTTTATTTTACCCCAAGTGGCTGCACCGTGGTGGGCAGGATCCGTGCTGGAGGCCGTTCCTGGGACCACAACGCTCACAATTTCCTCCAAATTTTGAAGTCGTGGACCATTCCCAAGTTGAAAAAAACCCCAAACTTGTAAAAAGCGGGAAATGCTGATTTATTTTTTTTTTATCCTGAGAGCACCCTGGGCAGGATCCGTGCTGGAGGCCGTTCCTGGGACCACAACTCTCACAATTTCCTCCAAATTTTGAAGTCGTGGACGTTCTTAGAGTAGAAAAAAACCACAAGCCAAACCCCCAAAGGTGTAAAAAAGCCGAAATTTCAGGATTTCTGTTTTTTTTACCCCGAGTGGTGGGCAGGATGCGGGCTGGAGGCGGCTCCTAGGACCCGGCAGCGCTGCTTCCCCATCCCTCCTCCTCCTCCTCCTCCTCCTC